TCGGCAACCCATCTTCCCCTACCTTCTTCCCCTCCCTTTCCTCTCTCCAAGCTCTGCGACTCCTGTAAGATCTCCCTCTCCTGATTCATTCTTTGCCTGCCCTACAACGCCATGATCCATGAACGCATCTGGATGTGTGACACCATGAATTCATGCAATACCAGCCTACATCTTCTTCTCCCCAGCTTCTTCTCCAGTAACTCCACAACGTCTGCAAGCTTCCCAACGCGGATTTTAGAAACCCCTGCACCATAATAAAACCTAGATCTCAAAACCAATAAAATGACCGAATAATTGCGGACGAGGAAGGGGAAAACCATTAACCAATTCGAGCTTTGCACCTGATCTTGGGTCTTTAAGCGGCTTCTCCGAACAAACAATTTGAGCTCAGCGACGGTAGGAAAGCCGGATGGTGACCAGACAAGGCTTTTTTTATCTCTCTCACTCAATCCCTGCTCCATCTGATTAGATGACGAAGCTGACACCACTTCCTCATGCTTTTCGATTCTCAAAATCCACGGCTCGCCTCAAATTTTGGCCTCGCCGTCGTGCACTACGTTTCGTCGATCCCCCGTGCCTATATGTTGGAGTGGAACGAGCCAGTGTTGTGCTCAAAGGTCGACGATGGCCACAAACCACTATGGACAAAGACTCCAAGCCTTCAATTCCTGTCCGCAGTTGGGGAAAGTGACAGAGAGGGAGAAGTTGAGGTTTTGGTGGTGAAGGGAGGGGATGAAGGTCGGGGAGGTGAAGAGGGAGGAGAGGGAGAAGGTGGGGGGTTATGGGGGAGGTGGGGGTGGGGGTGGGGGTGGGGGTGGGGTGGGGGTTGCGGGGGAGGTGGGTCGGGGGAAGTTGGGTTTTTTTTAATTTATTTTTTATTTTTAATAAATAAGGTAAATTATTATAATATTTTAAACAAATAAAAAAATATTTGCCACGTGGCATACATTTGGCCGCCACGTCAACTCTTAACGGATCAATGAATAGAAAATGTAATGGAGGTACTATATTGAAATAAAATAGTAAGTGAAGTATGAAAGTTTTCTGTTTTGAAAATGTTGTATGCGATTGTAATAGATTCTAAATCTTCTTACCCAAAGTTAAATTAGTGTTTGTTTCTTTATCTGACAAGAATCTGCAGGCCTGCTCTTGACCATGGTGACCCAGGAAGATTTTGTTAGTGTTCCGAAATATCCTTGAATTGACGTGCTGGGAAAAAAAAACAAAATTGACTCATGACTTGTATGTGGATCCAAATTTGTCCTAACTAATCAAAGAAAGTAGCAAAAAGTTGTCTATAATTTTTTAGTTTTTTGTGGGTTAAGACTATGTGTGCGCACGTAGATGATAATGTTCTTTCAAACTATATTTCTCCTGCAACTAGTGTTAAAAAAAGGAGGTACGCGAATATCCAACATAACTTTTGAACTGTATTCGGCAGATTTTTGCCGAATAGGTAGGAAAACTCAAAACAAAAGCATCAGTATTCGGAAACGATCAACCGAACACAAGGTAACAGTTCAACAGACCGAACATCAATGACCTATTCGGCACAAAATTTTGTCCGACAACGTAAGGACTTTCAAAACCAGCAGTCTTCTGAGAAACAGAAATTAGACTTTGACGTAAACATAATAAGGATCGTAGTGTAATAGCTTCACCTATTGTGGACGAAGTTACAGTCTGTTTTAAGATACGAATTCTCAACGGTGTAACCACATACACCTTCAAATAGTTTCTCTAATCAAACTACATGATTAGTAGTCGTTCCATTTTTAGTTTGGAAGGCTGGGCGTGTGAAGATGTCGATGATATCTACTTTGGAGTCCCAAAGATGGAGATTCGTAAGATCATGAAATCTGAAACCTACTTAGAGTTGTATGTTTACAAATCCAAGCAAAACTGAAAGTCCTACGTTTCATAAAATTCATCGATGTCTGATTTTTCTACAATCTTGTGAGACAAATAATGGAGTTACAAGGTCAATGCCAGCAAGTTGGAAAAGTTTTGATGTTCCTATTGTCTTAGAAATGACGTGGTTAAGAAAAATCAATGAAAGCTACAACCTACGCATTTACCGGGCTGTGATAACGTACGCACTCTTCGACTTTACGTTGATTCCTTATGTGATTATCCTATCCGCTCAGTACTTAGAATTCAGATCTTTATTTGAACAACACTTATCAGAGATTCAGATAGAAGATTAAGATGCTAAGATATCTTCTACAAATGCTAGAACTGCATGAAACCTCTAACTTTTTGCAACCTTTTTCCTTCACGCCTGTGACCATTTTCCTATTCCTCCTATACAAATGATCCTCTGCCCGGGAATTCAGTTTGCAATACCTGTTAATGAGATTGGTCCGGCAAATATCGTGCACAAGTTCAATTGGGCATTGCCCGGTGGAGCAAGTGGGTGTTAAAGAAATCAACCCCATCTCATTAAAGGACCTACACAAATCTAGAATAAAGAATTCTAGAACATTCACTAAGGTTGGTTAGCTAGATTATCCAAGTTAAAGTAGTACTTTGTAGAAATGACTAGAATGTTGTTTTTAAGTTGGTGGAAGAGTCTAGAAGAATGGTGAGGTTTCCACCAACATGCAAGGTTAGTGTAGATAATTCTAGCTTAGGAAGTTAGTGGAATTATCTAGATATCTCTAGCATGGTGTGTCCATGCTTCTCCATGGTTCCATCCATGCCTATAAAAAGAGAAGGCATCCACACCATTTGTATCAACAAATCAACAAGCAACCAATCAATCAAGAAGATCTAAGTAAGAGAGTGGGAAGCCTTGTAAGTAGTCTTGTAAGAGTGTGAGTGCTCTAGAGTTTGTCTCTAAAAAGTAAGTGAGTGTCATTGCTTCTAAGAGTGTCCTTTGAGAGTGTTGTAATATTTGTTTGTGTAATACAAGTAATTTGTTTACTTGTATTGTCTCTCTAACACTTGTGTTAGAGTTGTGTACTCTAAGTTTTTTTTTTTCCCCAACAGTGGGGAGGGTTTAGACATGACTGAATCCAGTGTATCCCCTCGAAGCTGTTGCTATTCCATATTCCTAACTGTCTATGTACATGTAATGGCCTTCGTATTTCATGTCTAAGGCTCTAAGCCTACTACCGTCGCCTATTATGTTAGCGTTGTCTGCCGCTATTGCCAAAATAACATAGCACAACATGCAGTGCTAAATATTATGCATGTGAATGTAAGTTTCTTGACTGTGTTTTGCTTTGGGAATTTTAACTCAGGGTATTTCCTAGAAGGGTTTGTTATCCATGGCCGTTCGTTTTGCCTAAAAGCCAAGTTCAATCATATGTTCATGAGAACATCACAACAGGAAAAGGACAGCTTTGTTATCTCATGGACTAGAGTAGAGTGGGGAAGATAATCTAGGTAGGGACCGTAGGGTTAGGTTTTGAGTGCTTTCATCAGAAGATTGCGGGGTACCAGCAGTAACAATAATGGTATACCTTTCCTAAATTTTAGAGAGAGTAAAACTCAAAACCAAAGCCAGCAAAACCGCCTAGCTCTTGGTCGATTGGTATTTCTCTTCCCAACGTTGGAAGAAGTCCCCAGTTGGAATCTCTCATATCCTGTAGATTGAAAAACGAAACAGTAAAAGAAACACTAAAGAGGGGGAAACACCTGCACAATCTTCCTTTTGCTGAATAAAAGTGTTGCATTTGTAAATGAAAATGGTGTAACAGAAAGAGTTTAAGAAACCACTTACAGTTTATGTGTAAGAGGGAAAGCTCCCTTGTTGACACAAATTGACTGCACCAAGGGTGGGACGAACATCACACTGTATTCATTATTCCGAACCTTGATTGTCATCTCGTGTGCACCAAGTGTCTCTACCAGAAAGGACAATTAATGGACTAAGAACTTTGAACGAGCATTGTAAAACAAGTCTTCGAACATATAGACAGAACGTGCACTAGTGCACACCAAATGTATTTATTCTGATGTGACTATATCGATGAACGTTGAATCATTCAATTCTCACACTATCACGGAAGCCAGTATTTCCTGAGAGCAGTTACCCTGTGGAATATTTTGTTTCCCCGTTACTATTCCATATGTGTGTGGACTAGATTAATAATAGTTCAGCAAACTTCTCTGTAAGATCCCATATCGTCCATAGGAGTAGATCCTGTAAGCCTTTTATGTATGTTCCCATGTCTACCTAGCACGAGGCATTTTGAGAGCTCATTGGCTTTGGATTCCATAGGAACTCCAAAGTTAAGCGAGTAGCGCGCGAGAGCAATCCCATGATGGATAACCCACTGGGAAGTTCTCGTATGAGTTCCTAGAAACAAAATTGTGAAGACATGGTTAGGGTCCAAAGCGGACAATATCGTGTTACGGTGGAGTCGAGCCTTGGATGTGGTGGGGCTCCAGGCCAGGATGTGACAATTTGGTATCAGAGCCAATCCCTGACCAGATGTGTGCCGATGAGAACATCGGGTTCCTAAAGGGTGTGGATTGTAAGATTCCACATCGCCCATGAGAGTGGATCCTGTAAGCCTTATATGTATATTCTCATCTCTACCTATTCTCATCTCTAGCATGAGACCTTTTGGGAGCTCACTAGCTTCGGGTTCCATGGGAACTCCAAAGTTAAGCGAGTAGCGCGAGAGCAATCCCATGATGGGTGACCCATTGAGAAGTTTTCGTGTGAGTTCCCAGAAACAAAACCGTGAAGGCGTAGTCGGAACCCAAAAAAAGGATAATATCATGCTATGGTGGAGTCGAGCCTGAAATGTGGTGAGGCCGGGATGTGACATTCCCTATCTGCCACTTACTTTCAGGACCACATTGTATCATCATCCGTAACTATCACTGCCAAACAGAAAAGAAGATAAGGATTTTTATGGCATATTTGTTAGAAAACAAGGTGGAAAATCTGAATGGTACAAAATAATTGAGGTGGCTTCCTTGCCGACTGATGACTACTAGGTGCCAGTGCCACCAAAAGCAAGTCTCAGTCTATTTAAATTGATTGCAACAGGGGAGCCATACCAGAAGCCAAAGAAAAACTCCGAGGCACTGAATTTTGGTTACCAATGGCTCTTCTTCAATTGCTAAAGGAACCCTCTTTGGTTCTTGCATTCAGTTTCCTCGTATTGTTGCTCAAGTTTTTCTTTAAGGATAAGTCAGGGAAAAGAAAACTCAAACTTCCACCAAGCCCTCCGAAGCTGCCTGTCATTGGTAACCTTCACCAGCTCAGAAACAAACCTCACATATCTCTTCGCGGCTTGGCAGAGAAGTACGGTCCACTGATTTACTTACAACTTGGTGAGATCCCAACTGTGGTGGTTTCATCGGCTAGAGTAGCCAAGGAAGTACTGAAAACCCATGACCTTGCGCTATCAAGCCGTCCACAAATCTTTTCTGCCAAACACCTCTTCTATAATTGCACAGATGTTGTCTTCTCCCCTTACAGCGCCTATTGGAGGCATATCCGTAAGATTTGCATACTTGAGCTACTAAGTGTCAAACGTGTGCAATCTTATAGCCATGTTAGAGAAGAAGAAGTTGCTCGTCTGGTTTGTCGGGTTGCAGAGTCTTATCCCGGCACCACCAATCTGACCAAGATACTTGGACTGTATGCAAATGATGTTCTCTGTCGAGTAGCATTTGGAAGGGGTTTTTCAGAAGGTGGAGACTATGATCGGCATGGGTTCCAAAAGATGCTTGAGGAATACCAGAAACGTTTGAACCAGAAAGATTCATAGGTAGCACTATAGACTTCAAGGGGCAGGATTATGAGCTTTTACCTTTTGGGGCTGGTAGAAGAGGTTGTCCAGCTATTACGTTCGGAACAGCAACCATTGAGCTTGCTCTAGCTCAACTTTTGCATAGCTTTGATTGGGAGCTTCCTCCGGGTACTACCGATAAAGATTTGGACCTGGCAGAAGTTTTTGGTATCACAATGCACAGGATAGACAATCTGATTGTTGTCGCCAGACCACGGTTTCTCTGAGTCAAGAAATCATCAATAAGCAACCTGATAATCTATGTATCATCGAACTGCATCTGATTTCATATAAAAGACGAGAAGATTCACGCATTGTCCTTAGCCAATATCTCAGATGCAGACTCCAAAAGTAAATGGAATAAATTATACTTCCCTTTTTTCTCTGTGAGATATGATTTTCCTTCCCGTTTTCCCCTCCTTTACCCTGATTGGTGTCTAAATGCAATGTCATGGTCGGTTTCAAAGAACAACTATAATTTCATAGCCCCACAAGGGGAAAATCAAAATCTACATAGTAAATGGTTCCATAATTTATGCAGTTGGGAGGACAGCTTTAAAGGCAATGCAAGGAAGAACAAGATGATTCCCTGCTTGCCGCGGCATGCGTAAGAATTTATTCAAGTTCTGTGCAATATATATTGATTCATAAAAGAAAATAACGAATAGCAGAATTCACAGGATGTATACATTGCCAGGCCATAAAACCTTTACGAGAGTTAAAACAACTAGTACTAGACTAGAACTTGTTTTGCAAGGCATAACTGCCCGACAAAATTTGCTGGCTCAGTCACTGCTCTACTTCTCATACAGAACACACACAGGGTAGATCATGAATAGATCGACTTCATTGAAAAGCGTGGAATACAATCTTCTTTCTGAGGCACTGTGGCTTCCAAAATTGTTATCCTCGGCAAATCTGTTATCTACGGTGAACCAGTACTGCAAAATGTTGTATCTTGATATACAATCAAGTACTTCAAGTACATGTGTTTAACCTGAAGATAACGTCCTAATTGCTGAGCACCAAGAAATAAGGCATCAGCAAGGAGAATGACTCCGACCTGTGCCTAAAAATCATTCAAATTGAGATTAGGACCTTGAAAATTAGGTGACTAAAAAGCAGGCCATTTTAGTAAACACGTTAAAGGGAATAAGTACCAGTCGGGCAGAGAACACTAATACGTGCTGCAGCTCTTTGCTGATCTGTCCAACTGTGGACTGGGGATTGGGAAATAAATCTGTATAAGAACTGTCTTCAAATTGTATTTTAATATGCATCACTACAACGTAGTTACCAATTATAACGAAAAGCGAGCAAGACCAATAACTACAAAGTTTTAGCTCATCATATGTAGTGATCTTCAACAATTTGAAAACTTACATATATATATATATATATATATATGTAAGCTTTTTAGCAATTAGCATTTTATTTTTGTTTTCATTTGGATGATGGATGATCCTAAAATAGTACAATGGGATGACCTAATTAGCATTTTATTTTTGTTTTCATTTGCTTTCTTTCATTCATTATCATATACGAGTTTTATAGTACATTATTAACAAGAGTCCTATATGAGGTAAATTACAAAGAGAACATTCTTGGATAATGACAAATTACATTGCACTAATGACAAATTACATTGCACTAAGGACCTGTTAACAACCACCCTCCAATGTTGGGGGAAAAAACTTAGAGTACACAACTCTAACACAAGTGTTGGAGAGACAATACAAGTAAACAAATTACTTGTATTACACAAACAAAATATTACAACACAAACTATCAAGGACACTCTTGGAAAGCTATGACACTCACTCACTTTCTAGAGACAAACTCTAGAGCACTCACACTCTTACAAGACTACTTACAAGGCTTCCCACTCTCTTACAACTCCTTAATTGATTGGTTGCTTGTTGATTTGTTGATACAAATGGTGTGGATGTCTTCTCCTTTTATAGGCATGGATGGAACCTTGGAGAAGCATGGACACACCATGCTAGAGATATCTAGATAATTCCACTAACTTCCTAAGTTAGAATTATCTACACTAATCTTGCATGTTGGTGGCAACCTCACCATTCTTCTAGACTCTTCCACCAACTTAAGAAGCAACATTCTAATCATTTCTACAAATTACTACTTTAACTTGGATAATCTGGCTAACCAACCTTAGTGAATGTTCTAGAATTCTTTATTCTAGAATTGTGTAGGTCCTTTAATGAGATGGGGTTGATTTCTTTAACATCCAACCCCACCCCGCCTAACCACCCGCCGCAAACTTTGCATCGTCGGATGTACAAGCTTGGAACGCAGCTGCACACTCCGCGCAAGCCTTTTGTCTATAACTATCTGCCTATCCCTTTCCAACTGAGTTCGATAGCAATTTGAAAACCTACAAATACGAATGTAAGCTTTTGTAGTGCAGTATTCTAAATTGGCTGCAACAATTCAACCAAAGTTGCATATTACGTGACTTTTATTTCCTGTTACTGACGGCATATTTTAGACGAAGAACTGTAAAGTTTTAGCTCATTATATTGATCCAGTGATCATCAACAATTTGAAAATTTATGTCTTGCAAATGTCCTCTACATCGCCTTTTATTCTTTTTGTTATGATTATTTCAAAGAAAATAAAAGATGACATAGAAACCAATAACTAAGTAAGTCAAAGGAAAAGAAAATAGAAGCAAGGCAAGGAAAATGAAATTTGCGTTGGAATAGACAAATATGAACGTAAGCTTTTCTAGTGCGGTATTCTAGATTGGCTGCAACAATTCAGCCAAATTTGCTATTCCGTGACTCTTATTTCCTCTTACAGATGACATATTTTAGACGAAACTATAAAGTTTTAGCTCATTATATCGATCCAGTGGCCATCAACAATTTGAAAACATATGTCTTACAGATGTCCTATACATCGCCTTGTATTCCTTTTGTTATGATTATTTCCTCTTCGATGAACGTTGAATCATTCAAATCTCACACTATCATAGAAGCCAGTATTTCCTGAGAGAAGCTGTCCTGTGGAATACCTCGTTTCCATAGGATAATGATGTGTGTGGTAATTAGTATGCGCGTGCACTGAGATTATGATAGGCACTAACTGCAACGTCACCGCTAAAGGCATGCTTATGAATCCACATGTGACATACCAAATAAATATCAAAGATCTTTTAAATTCTTTCTGTGGAGCTCAAATATAGTTCTGCATGTTTCTCTGTCAATTATTTTCAGGACCACAGCGTGTTAGCATCCTTTACTATAACTGCCAAACAGAAAAGAAGATAAGGAATTTTTTGCCATATTCGTTAGAAAACAAGGTGGAAAATGTGATGAGTGGTAGGTCCCAGTGCCACCAAAAGCAAGTCTCAGACCTGGTTGGTACTGAGGTGATTCTGAAAAAAGCTGCTATCAAAAAAAGCTGGGAGTTGTTTTTGTATTTGGTAAACACTCAGCTTCAGCTTTTTTTCACAGTTTTGGATGAAAAAAAGCCAAAAACAAGAAGCTGCAAAACCTAGCTTTGAAAAATCGGTTTTTTTTCACATCTGTTTTACATAAAAGTTTACCAAACACTCTAATACTGCTTTTTTTTTTCAAAAGCACTTTTACAAAAAAGTTTACCAAACACTCTGCTGCTTTATTTCACAGCTGCTTATTCTCACAGCACAGCAGAAGCAGCTTTTTTTTCAAAGCACAGCAATACCAAACCAGCCCTCAGTATATTTAAATTGATTACGGCAAGAGGGGAGCCATACCAGAAACTAAGAAAAACTCCGAGGCACTGAATTTTGGTTTCCAATGGCTCTTCTTCATTTGGTAAAGGAACCGTCTTTGCTACTTGGATTCAGTTTCCTCATATTGTTGCTCAAGTTTATCTTTAAGGATAAGTCAGGGAAAAGAAAACTCAAACTTCCACCAAGCCCTCCGAAGCTGCCTGTCATCGGTAACCTTCACCTGCTCAGAAACAAACCTCACATATCTCTTCGCAGCTTGGCAGAGAAGTATGGTCCACTAATTTACTTACAACTTGGTGAGATCCCAACTGTGGTGGTTTCATCGGCTAGAGTAGCCAAGGAAGTACTGAAAACCCATGACCTTGCACTATCAAGCCGTCCACAAATCTTTTCTGCCAAACACCTCTTCTATAATTGCACAGATATTGCCTTCTCCCCTTACAGCGCTTATTGGAGGCATATCCGTAAGATTTGCGTACTTGAGCTACTAAGTGCCAAACGTGTGCAATCTTATAGCCATGTTAGAGAAGAAGAAGTTGCTCGTCTGGTTTGTCGGGTTGCAGAGTCTTATCCCGGCACCACCAATCTGACCAAGATACTTGGATTGTATGCAAATGATGTTCTCTGTCGAGTAGCATTTGGACGGGGTTTTTCAGAAGGTGGAGACTATGATCGGCATGGGTTCCAAAAGATGCTCGAGGAATACCAGGAATTGCTTGGAGGATTTTCTATTGGAGATTTCTTCCCTTCCATGGAGTTTATACACAGCTTAACAGGAATGAAATCGAGACTTAAAGAGACCTTCCGGCGCTTTGATGAACTTTTCGACCAGATGGTGACTGATCATCTCAATCCCAATAGAGAAAAAGAGAAGCACAAGGATCTCGTGGATGTTTTACTTGACGTACAGAAGAGCGATTCTGCTGAAATACCTCTCACCATGGATAATGTCAAGGCTATTATCTTGGTCAGTGTAGACTCATGGATGCTTAAATGTATATGATCAATAGCCGAGATATCCCTTATTACTTTAAATATGAATTTCTCTTAGCTGTTTGCAAAGAAACTAACAATACGAGGTGAACTGCTGCTGCTGCAGGACATGTTTGCTGCAGGAACTGACACAACTTTCATCACCCTCGATTGGGGAATGACAGAGCTTTTGATGAACCCCAAAGTACTGGGAAGAGCGCAAGCAGAAGTACGAGGAGTTGTCGGAGAAAGAAGAGTCGTGTTAGAGAGTGATCTGCCTCAGCTGGACTACCTGAAAGCTGTCATCAAAGAGATATTTAGATTGCATCCACCTGCTCCAGTACTAGTCCCTAGAGAATCCATGGAAGATGTAAGCATTGATGGGTATGATATTCCAGCCAAAACAAGAATTTTTGTCAATGCCTGGGCAATAGGGAGGGACCCGGAATCTTGGGAAAATCCAGAAACGTTTGAACCAGAAAGATTCATGGGTAGCACTATAGACTTCAAGGGGCAGCATTATGAGCTTTTACCTTTCGGGGCTGGTAGAAGAGTTTGTCCAGGTATTACGTTCGGAACAGCAACCACGGAGCTTGCTCTAGCTCAACTTCTGCATAGCTTTGATTGGGAGCTTCCTCCAGGTACTACATCTAAAGATTTGGACCCGGCAGAAGTTTTTGGTATCACAATGCACAGGATAGCCGATCTGATTCTTGTCGCCAGACCACGGTTTCCCTGAGACAAGAAATCATCAATAAGCCACATGATAATCTATGTATCATCGAACTGCATCTGATTTCATATAAAAGACGAGAAGATTCACGCATTGTCCTTGGCCAATATCTCAGATGGAGACTCCTAAAGTAAATGGAATAAATTGTACTTACCTTTTTTCTCTATGATATATGATTTTCCTTCCCGTTTTCCCCTCCTTTACCCTGATTGGTGTCTAAATGCAATGTCAAGGTCGGTTTCAAAGAACAACTATAATTTCATAGCTCCACAAGGGCAAAATCAAAATCTACATAGTAAATGGTTCCATAATTTATGCAGTTGGGAGCACAGCTTTAAAGGCAATGCAAGGAAGAACAAGATGATTCCCTGCTTGCCGCGGCATGCTTAAGAATTTATTCAAGTTCTGTGCAACATATATTGATTCATAAAAGAAAATAATGAATAGCAGAATTCACAGAACGTATACATTGCTAGGCCATAAAACCTTTACGAGAGTTAAAACAACTAGTACTAGACTAGAACTTGTTTGGCAAGGCATCACTGCCCGACAAAATTTGCTGGCTCAGTCACTGCTCTACTTCTGATACAGAACACACACAGGGTAAATCATGAATAGATCCACTTCATTGAAAAGCGTGGAACACTAATGAGAACGGAGTGATATATGGTTGATATGGAGGATACAATCTTCATTCTGAGGCAAATCTGTTATCTATGGTGAACCAGTACTGCAAAATGTTGTATCTTGATATACAATCAAGTACTTCAAGTACATGTGTTTAACCTCAGAGTGATCGTATATCCTGAAGATAACGTCCTAATTGCTGAGCACCAGGAAATAAGGCATCGGCAAGGAGAATGACTCCGACCTGTGCCTAAAAAATCATTCAAATTGAGATTAGGTGCTTGAAAGTTAGGTGACTAAAAAGCAGGCCATTTTAGCAAACACATTAAAGGGAATAAGTACCAGCCGGGCAGAGAACACTAATCGGCAACTCCAATTTTCTTTGGCAGCTGCAGCTCTTTGCTGATCTGTCCAACTGTGGATTGGGGATTGGGAAATAAATCTGTATAAGAACTGTCTTCAAATTGCATTTTAATGTGCATCACTACAACGTAGTTACCAATTATAACGAAAAGCGAGCGAGACCAGATAGTTACCCAAGGAATTCTAAAAGCCCACCAATTCCAGCAAACTTAAATGGCAGAGGGCCTTCTCTGGCAAGATCCTGCTCCCACATAAGATGAGACTCACTACATCAACAGACTTTTTCAGTTTGGTTCACAACAAAAGCACCGAAAAAGAAAATATACGTAGAAATAAAAATACAAAAAAGAATATCTAAACACTGAAACCACGACTACCTCTTCTTCAGCAGCCTCTACGCCTCCTTGAACCCAGAAAAGGTTTTTCTGACATACCTGTTATAAGACAATATTTTCAAATTTAGCCTCCAAAAACAAATTATACAACCTCCAAAAACAAAATAGTTGAACTAAAACAATTTTACCTTCTTTTCTCAAATTCCCATTAAGTAGCTCACTTAAACACAATTACACAAAAAGTCGTTTTGTTTTTCGGTCTTCGAATTTCGTAGGAATCGAGCACCATACCAGAGCTTCCCATCTCTTTTTGGCAGCAGCCACATCCCTCATTTGCTTCAACTCGTAATCTTCACTGTCACCCTGCATCCGAGTGGCAGTACTCCTCCGATGATCAACATCAACAACAAGAACAATCCACATTAGAAAACACGAAAAACATTAAAATAAAACAAACCTAATAATTACAACATGAAAAAAAGTGAAGAATTACATACAAAGTGGTAAGTTAACATCAAGAAAAAGAACCCACATTATAAAATTACAATAAACCCAACAACTAGAACATGAAAAAGGTGGAGAATTTACATACAAAATGGTAACTTCAGCAAGAGGGTGTTGGTAGAGTTGATGAGATTATGACTGCATAGGATTATGACAAGTGTCTATGTATTATTGGTAGTGGTCTTAGATAGTTAGTAGAGAGGTGTTTTACTAATGTATAAATACTAATAGTTGTAATTATTCTACACAGGTTGAATGAAAGAGAATATTCAGTTTTAGCAAACTTTCCCTCTTTAATTTCTCTCTCTTGTTTACTTAGCTCTCAATTACATTGTTGTCATGGTATCTTCGCCGAGAGTGGCTCATGCCTCCGATTGACGATCCTTTATGTTTTCGCTACTCATCTCCATTTGTGATCTGTGTTCGGTGACATCTCCGGTCATCAGTTTTTCGTCTTCTCCGGTTGTGTATTGGATTTTTGTTTTTTCATACTGGATTGTCAGTGATTTATTGATAGTTTTTTCGTTGGTTGAATTGCTGAGTTCTTGATCGCCTTCGTGCATTAGGTTTTGTTGATTCTTTCGTTTCTTTCTGCTCAGCGTGTTTGATTTGTGCATTATTTATGATTCTCTGAAATCTGTAACCCTAAGATTTAGGGGTTTCTTGTTTCGTATGCACAAGATTGTTGATTTCTGCAATTATTGGCTTGTCGTTGTTGTTGGTGGTTTCAATTGTGTTTGTGCGTTGATCTTAAGTATTAAAATTGTTTCAAGATTGTTTCAGTTTTACATACAAATCCCAAAATTGCTAAGCACCGGTCAACTTCATACATTCAAGGATCCACTAAGGGGTTCATGCTGAGGCACCCCTGCCAAAGCACAAGAGTTTCCCTCCAACCAGGAGGCCAATCAAAGCACAACACATGTCAACCTCAGAATAAAGCTCATAAAGTCCCACATCGACCACGGATAAAAGTTGGATGCTCTCCTCTACTATAAACGAAGACCATTCTCCTACAATGAATCCCTAATGTCATTATTGTACTTAAACTAGTTATTAGAACTCACTAACGATCATTATGCTTGCACCTATATATTTTTGTAAACCCTTCACTATTAATGAGAACTCCTCTACGCCATGGACATAGCCAAACTTAGGATGAACCACGTGCATCTTGTGTTTGCTTCCCTATTTCTATCTCTTTACATATTTATCCTCACTAGTGACCGGAGCAATCGAGCGAAGGTTACAAACTTGACACTTTACATTGTTCCAAAGTCTTCACTAATTTTGTGCAACAACAAAACTCATTGTTCCGATCTGTGGTGGTGTGTTTGTCAAATTCTAAAGTCAGCTACACGTTATCTCATGGGTTTGACTAAATTGGGGATGATAACTTCGATTAAAGTGCTAGTTAGTTAATGTATTTTTTTTTCTTAAAACTTTAGAGACCAGCTGATATGATGGTTGAACCACAAATCTGTTCTTATTTCTAGCATAATAGTTGAATTACAGTTTCAGCTGCAAATCGGATACATGAATGTGTTTACTTACTCGAGGATTTAAAGATGGAAAGATTAAAAGTTTAATAAGGTATGGTTAATGATACGCCCGACCCTGATATCCTCCAAACACTAGGGTAAGCATGTGCGGTCGACACCTGAAGGTAACGAAGCCATAATAAGATACATGAGAACAATGAATATAAATAAAATATTATAAATTAAAAAAAAATGAATATGCAATTGAGAAACATGTTCAGAGCATACAACTAAACCAAGAGACTAGAAAGGAAATACTATAAAATTTGAAAGAATAAAGGAATGGGTCCTACACCAACAGGATTTGAAGATGCTGATGCGGGAGTGCCTTGTCGCGGGGATTGTACGCCTCGAATCTAAGTCCTGAGGGGGTGCAAAATAAAACATGATTGGACCAAATTGATATATAAGTAATACTGAAACAGTTATTCAACAATGTACTAACCCCCAAAGTTTATTAAAACTCCATAGTATAGTATGTAATAGGTTTTCCGAAAACCCTAGCATGCCATAAAACCTTTCAATAAAATATATATTGTATATAGTGTGCTAGATAGTGGCATCAGTATCACCCGAAGGCAGGTCATTCACTTGTAGGTAGATCATACGCTCGTAGGCAGAACATACGCCTGTAGGTAGGACATTCCGCCCGGCACTACATCTCCCGTGCCGAAGCCAATATAAGTATCTTTCGGTCGAAACCACCAACCTACGCCCGGCTAAAGCCATATATAAGTATCATCACCCGTAGGCAAAACAATGACCACTAGATAAGCACAAAAATCATTGAACATAATCTTTCCAAAGTATATGTATATATCTCTACAGAGCTTAATAGCTCAAACATCATATCTTAAAACATATTCATAGTATATAGTCATCCATCATATATACTATAAAGAACGTAAAATTTGATAAAGTATGGTATTCCAAAATATTCTCAGTGAAGCATGATATCTCATAAAGTGTAAATCTATTTTACTCATAAACATTTCATAAAACATAATCACTAAATCATGTTTTTCATGTATACACTTCTAATAGTAAAATATGCAATTTAGAAGGAGTCCACTTACAGGTATTCTGCCGTCGAAGAGATGTGCAAACAAGAAAGGATGGAAACGCCCTAAACAATTGCACCTAAACACATAAAGATACCAATTAATAAAACTCTACCATAATGATTGAATTTCAAAAAAACATACATCATAAACGGATGCAGGATGTCGAAATTAGCCTAGAAGGGGTCCCGACCGAAATCCGAACAAGTCAACCCAAAAGTCAACGTTGACGGGTTAATGGTCAACTGTTAAAGTCAACGGGTTAGCGGGTTGGGTCGAATCCAGGTTATTGGGTCGAGCCAGTTATCGAGTCGAGCCAGTTATTGGGTTTTGGACTTAGGATAAGGTTATTGGGCCAAAGAGTTATAGTTAATGGGTAGTAGATTTGGCTTTGGGTTTGGGCCAATTACATGGCCCAAGGGTTAGGTTATTGGGTTGAACTTGGGTTGGGTACTAATTTGGGCTTAGGTCACAAAGGCCCAAGGTTTGGGCCGGGTAGTGGGTTTAGGGCTTGGGCTTAGTTTTTTTATTGGATTAGATTATATAGCCCAAAGGTTTGGGCCGGCTTAGTTAGGGCTGGGCTACCTTGGGTCGGGTTTGGCCCGTTACACTCGCGGGTCATTGGACCTTAGCAAAGAAGAAGGTTGAATTTTGGCCAAAGTTTCCCAAACTCCGACCGAGCTCAAAACGTAACCAAATCATGCAATCCAAAATACCCAATTGAAGCCCAGAAAATAAGGAATCGAAATATACCTATATCGTGGCTAGCCGTGGCCAGAAGATGACTCGGAAATGCCTGCAAACCTTCGATCTTTACTGGAATCTGGGTAATAGTTTTCCCGAGTATAGTTGTATTCCACAACACTCAAACCACTTAAAAACATCCTAATCATGCTCTAATAAAAACTCTAGGAAGTTTGGGAGGGTTTTCAAAACTCACCATCGTCGGAGAAGGCGAGGATTCGCTGGAAGAGAAAGAAGGATAAGCCTCAACCATCAGATGTCATGGTGGGGAGGTCTAAATGGTAGTGGGAGTTGCTAGAGGAACTCGCCGAAGTAGGTGGCTTGAGGAAAGGGGTTGCAGAGATGGAGGGTAAAAGCTGAGGGAGAAAGGTCCAAGAGTGAGAGGAAGAGTCACGAGGAGGGGGGAGGAGAAAGGAAAGAGACCAGGGGACAAAAACTCAAGGGTAGACCCCACGTGGCTCACCAACCAATTCCATAAAAGACAAAACAATAAGAAAAATATCTCATTTGAGTGTGAAATTACCAAAAAGCCCTTCTGTTTCGTAAATTCTGGGACATGTTGTTACAGTTAAAGATTTCAAATGAAAAGGCCTTTAACTTTCTATACTAAATCCAAGTAGTCACAGTATAGAAATTTTAGTGGCTACAACGAATTCCATAAGCTGAAACAAAAAGATCACCATCAGTGCGGATTGCCATCAATCCAGATTCCCATGGACCATCTATCATTGTAGATTCATCGATGTAAATCGTCATTGTTACAGACTTCCCAAAAAGAAAAATTACGAATGTTAATATCTCTTAGAAAAACACTCAACTTATTAATGTTGTCATAGAGATTTCACCGATCAGACCCACATAAAGCCACGGGTAATTGGCAACAACAATAGCTCATGTACTTAAAATCAAACGCACAGGAGAAAAATTAGTAGTTGTACAAACTCAATAGTTCAATTCTATCAAATTGAATTCAACATGTAGCCATCATTCGTTTGGTAGCAACTACAAAAATTACAAAATAGTGCACACCTCGTCCTCTCTTGCAAAACCAAAAATACTCAAACTAACAACCAGTCTTAGTTTGATATTGAGTATATGTTTTGTGAGAGCAAAGACCACTGTTTATATGGAAACAAACCTTGTGATTTTCCTATTGAAATCAATGTAGGAAACTAACATACAATTCCAATCCAACTATGAGTTCTAAGTATTAGCATTTACTTAAAGTTTCAGTCCTAGACTGATTAGAACAACTTTAAAGTCTTCAACAAGACATTTTCATACCAATTTGAAACATTATAGCCGATTTCTAGCACCAACAATCATACTCATATTCTAACAATAGCAGCAAGAACAATGGTCATATCAATGCTTGGACAATTGGAAGAGACCCCTCATTGTGGGATGAGCTAGAGGAGTTTAAACTAGGAAGGTTTCTGAATTCTTCGGTGGATTTCAAAAGGCATGACTTTGAATTAATCCTTTTGGAGCTGGAAGAAGGGGTTGTCCTGGATCCTTGTTTGCCATGGCCCCAATGAGTTTGTGTTAGCAAATCTTGTGCACAAATTTGACTAAACATTTCCCGGCGGAGCAAGAGCAGCCGAGTAAGCATGACCAAATGTACCGATCTTGTCATCCATCGAAAAGTTCCCCTTGCAGTTATGGTTACCCTAGAATGTTTATTTATATTTATTTTTCGCAATAAACTTCTACAAAATTAGGTTGTCGTTTAGGACATAGTGTTAGATTGGATTTTTATTTTTCTTGCAACTTCAACGAAATTTCGAATTTAAAAGTTTAACTCTTTGCTTTCCGTAAGCACTTCAGTTTTCTCTGGCTTTCTCCACAAGAAAATTTACCTAGTGGATTAAGTAAATTTGACAGCCTACGTGACAATTTGACATATTTTAACATTTCATTCTCCATTCGATATGTTATATTAAACTATTATTTTATTACATTATTTATTTTGTTAATTTTTGTTGTGTTTGGGATCTCTTTTTCTATCACCAAGCAAATGTCTATACAAATCCAAACACAAAAAAATCTCGTCAGTTTGAACATTGAGCTCTCTTTCTCTCTAAGATGGAAAGAAGATTTATCTTTTTTATTCCTATGATCAGAGATGAATTGTCTCCACTCACAAGGTTTCTCATCCATTTCTGTACACACATATTCCATAAACATTCATCAATTTTTTTTACCAATTAATTAAATCTTTTTTTATTTCATTTTTTTTTTCCTTCCAAATTTCATATCTCTGTTTGCCTCTCCATAGCTTCAGAAGCAATCCCAGGAGCCCTTCGTTCTCTGTCGCAACTCTATTGTTGATTAACAAAAAAGAAAGAGGGATATGAACAGATTGCACATTCAACAATCAACATTTATTATAATAAATTATTAAACTAATAAAAAATCAATAGAATTGTTTAATAATTAATTAAAAAACATTTGAAGTTGTTGTCAAATTTAACAACTCTTTTGCTATTAATTTATGCCATGCCACGTAGGATTTGGCATTTCAGTTGGAAATTATTAGTGGCTATTTTTTTTTTACTGTTATAGCTTATGTGGATATTTTGACATTTCATTTGGAGATGCTCTAACACATCTAAATCTAAACCTTAATAGAACTCAATTTGTCAACTAAAAACCAATGAAATTACAATTATAACTTTTAATACATAACTAAAAAAATGTTAGAAAAGAAAAAAAATGGGCATTATAGTAATTTCGTAATAAACAACTTTTTGTTTTTTTTTTTTTTTAAACTTCACATCCATGTCTCTCCATCACTACCCTCTAAACTCCCTCTCTCTCCCTCTCTCTTTCTGATGTCTGCTGGAACTCGTACCATAAATATATATATATTTGAGAAAAAAAAAGGTATATTTCTCACACATAAGGGGTATGATCTTTGCTAGTCCTTATAAGGAAAGAAGAGGATAAACGAAAGAAACAAACTCATAGAGTCCAGCAACTCTTATGTGGCTCATATTGGCTCTAATTATCTATTCAAAATTCAAATAAAGCTCCAAAAAATTTAGGAAGTTTTAAGGGAATACTTATGGTACTGTTCACTTTTACCTTTTCTTGGTACTATTCACAACACATTTATTTGTCATGTTTCATTAAAACTAAATTTTTTTTTGAACTTTTCATTAGTTTTCCTAAAAATTATGGGTCTCCTCCTCTTGTAATGGACCATCATAATGTTCCCTCCACTTATTTTCCGTTTTTACCGAAAGCACTAGCAAGCAAGAAAATGGATGCGCTAACACACAACAATTTGTATTCACATGAAATAATATCTACACTAAGAGAGTGGGGGAGTGGGTTAAATCTCACACTGGGCTAGCCATGATAATGTGGTCGCCCATAATAATGTGGTTCAAGTTCATCTTTGGCGATAATCAAACTTAAAACATACGTGTCATTAAACCGTAGTACTAAGTGGCAGGTGTCATTATTTATGCAGTGGTTACATCCTCCTTCTGGCAATCTTTTGACCAAGGGTTTGCAGTCGCTTTGGAGTTGGACAATAACTATGCTTCCAGGCCAAAACAGAAAAACAACCGCACAAGCAAAAACTCATGGCCACCCATGAACCAAGGAGCTTTTTAGTTTTACCATTTTGGAAACTTGCAAATATACAAGTTTTTGAGCAATTAGCTGGATTGATTAGTTTTTTACATATACCATGTCGTTATTATATCGTGGTTGTGTGGCCGTTATATGTTTTCAGCACTCTTCGATGCATGTGTAAGCTTGAGAAATCATGGATGATCTATACCCTTATATAAACACACAAGCGCAGCAAACACACCCACAGTGCTGGCCATAAATTTCTTATCCTAAATAATAAGACTATGATGCTGGAGAATGAAACCTCCTTTTTGCAACCTTTGGCCATCACACTGCTGGCCATTTCCGTTATCCTCCTATACAGACGATACTCCTCCGCTATAACCACCAACAAAACCCCAGCACTACCTTCTCCACCGAAGCTCCCTATCATTGGAAACTTTCACCAACTAGGCTTGATCCC